GAAATTAAAAAACATTTAAATACAATTAAAATAAATAAAACAACATGTTTTAAACGGCCATGTTATTAATACCAAAAAAACTGACAATTAATATTATAAATTGCCCAATAGGTACGTGCAGTAATATCTATAGAGCAATAATATTATGAAATAATATATTGTGATGTTTAAATTTTAAATGCATAATAGGTATTACACGTTTTAAAACTCGTATACTTATAAAACGCGTTTGAATTCGTCTTTTATTTTCTACGCCTACCTACATAATATAAGCAGCAATGATGTTATTTGAATAATTATTTGGATGCTTGAAATAATAGCAATGTTTAAACTTACGGTTTACAATATTGATAATATTATATAGGTATTAAAGTATTAAGTAGTTATTTACTTACTCGATAATTCTGGTCAAATTTTGAATCCAAAATATATTTAAATATCTGTTAAAATGCATTTGAAAAATCAATAGGTAAGTAAATGCCTAAAAAACATAAATAAATATTATCCGTAAATTATAAATTATAGATGGATACTTGAATGATGGATAATGCGAAACGTTGCGATTTTATTACGATCGATTTTTGACCAAAAAAAAGTCATAATTATCGATGAATTGAATAAATATTACCAATGGAAAGTGAAAAAAATTAAAACCATATAAAATAATTTTTTAAATTATAACCAGTCATGGGTAATTAATAGGTACTTACTTATTAACCTAATATAATATTATCTATTAATTTACATTATTATTTTAAACTATATAACAAACAAGTAATGTACATATCGCGTATTAAACATTGTTTTTTTTTTTTTTTTTTTACTTTAAAAATTGTCCAAATTATTTCTTGATGCTAATTAAGGCATAAAAGCTGAAAATGAATATTACGTACTTTGCTAAGTTACACTTGTTAAATCAAAAGTATTGTCAAATAAAACAAAAAAAAATTGTATTATACGTATTTTGTGTGTTAAACATTACATTTTTTAAAAATTACCGTCTTCGTAAGTCGTGCAACTGTTCCAGACGGTTTTTAATTTTCTATGCGAACCCCACGCAGGTGCACACGCATTTCACTAGGTATTTATTATCGTTTTGTCAATATCCGTTTCAGTACCTAAAATAATAATAAAAACAAACTAATTAATTTTTACCTTCAATTAACAATATTTATAAATAATAAAATACAGTTTTTTATTATGTGTTTGGCCACATGTTGTTAATTTTTACCAAGGCTTAATGACGCTTCGCCTAGATATTTGGTAGGTACCTAAATTTGTTCAATGTATAGCCAGATTACCTACTGCTAACGAACTTTTTTACCAATTTTTCTAATTAATTTTATACATTGCAGCAATGTTAATAGGAAAATTCCATTTTAGATATTTCCAAAATAGAAATCACTGCGGGCATTATATTGGACCGGTAAAAACAAATTATTTAAAAACTAATACTAGGTATTTATAAATTATAATACTTACATTAATTTTGAATAATTAAATTATTTTGTTATTTATCAACGATTATTAATTATTAATTTCTTAATTTTCAATATTTTACAAACACAAGAAAAATATTACCAATTTGTATAACATGACTAATATATAATATATAATACATTGATGACAAAACTGGAAAATGTAAGAAATTTAGATATTAGTTAAAAATATTACGGCCTTTTGTTTCCCCCGTGGACAACTTTTCTACCAGTAATTTTGCACCAACTTATAATGATAGCAATTTTTCTAAAAGANTACAAACACAAGAAAAATATTACCAATTTGTATAACATGACTAATATATAATATATAATACATTGACGATGTTTAAATTTTCAAAATGTCTCCTTTCAATTTTTTTTTCTGTGGACAACTTTTCTACCAGCAATTTTACTTCAACCTTTAATGATAGCAATTTTTCTAAAAGAAAATGTCACTGGAGAGGTACTTTAGAGATGTTGTTTTTCGATTTTTTCAGGAATTTTTCTCAAAAGATGTGAAAAACTTGGAAAAAACATGGGAAAACCGAGGAAATCGGTACAATATTAAACAAATATTATTAAAGACAATTTTTAATACATGTATACAATTTATTATTTTACTATATTATGGCACACATATTGTTGACAAAGCATCACTATAAACTAAACTCTGCTCAGAATCATTTTTTCGTAGGTAATGGTTTATCATCGTTGCTTACAGGTATAGGTACATTAAATCACCTATAACAATCGCTGCACCCGTCCCCATTATCCTAGGACGTCTTTTTTGAAAATAAAGATTAGATATCCATTATCAACATTAAACTTATTAGGTACCTAGGTACAATACTGGTTGAAATTATATTCGTGTATGTATAAAAATACTCGGGATCATTAGCGCAATACAAATTACAGTAGGTAGGTAAATTATAAATTTTTAAATATTAGTAGATAGTTAGAATTGTGAAATTGAGACGTGTATATTCGAGGAAAGTAATTTCGGTCAATGACCACAGATAGGTAGTTAAATACCTATATTCTGCTGGCATCGAATTTCTAAGATTATGATTGGCACGGTCTGTATCTATTATTATTCTTTTCAATGATCAAACGAATCACGGAGACTATATACCTAATAATCAGTGAATTTAATAGGAAGGTGCGTTACCCTAGCACTACCATGTCCTAATTTTAACTTAAAAACCATCTGGTGTAATGCCATTCATTAACAATATACACACGATTTTTTTTTTTTCATGGGGAAGAAATGGGTACCAAAACTAGCAGTACTAATACTAATTCATTTTTATAAAAAGTGACCGAACAATTTTAAACAGTAAAACGTGAATAAAATTGTATTGAATATTACTGATAAGTTACTCGAATTACATTACCAAATACAAACATTCTCTATCAAAACCTATTCAATTAAATTATGAGTGATAACACCATGAGTCCTATAGCCATAAATCGTGTGACTCTAAAAAGTGTATTATATTCTGAAATGTTTATTTTAATTTTAATAATTTAACCAAACAAATATTATAACTCATATAACGCATAGTGTATTAATCGGATGAAATCTATCATAATCACATGAGCATAAAAACAAAAATTATGATAAATTGCCTATACACAACTCCTAAAATACTTCATAGTAAAATATAGCTTATACCTATCACCAACAATAGATTATGGTAATAATTTGTAATTAGTGTTTGATACATTCTTTTTAAAAAAATTTGAATATTAACATTTTGGAATAATTTAAAGTTGCTACTCTTTTTGAATTTAAAAATTTCCTGACCATTCCAGAAAAAAGGAATATTTTTCCATAGCATGTTTATAATAAATACTTTAAAACTAACTTACAGAGTTCATAAAAATTAATCAATACTCAATCCTTGATTTTAAATTCTACTTTTTCCTTGCTTTATTAATATAAACCAAAATGAGTAATTGCTTCATTATTCATACAATTTTGTTATTTAGATATATTACAATTCTGACCAAAATGTATAAAAGGTAGCATGATACAATGTGTACTTTGTGCCACTAAAGGATAAATAGCTACAATTTACTCTCTCTAGCTCAAGCTTACAGGAGTAATATTATCTATTTAAAAATTATTTATATAAAAAATCATATATATGTATTTGTAACAAGTATGTAATAAGTATTATGTAAACAAAATAATAAAATAAAAGTACCCAGAAAAATAATTTAAAAAATATTTAATTATAATTCTAATTACAAGTCTTTTCTTTGATTAACAGTAGAATTGACCAATACAAAATACATAATTTGTTATACATTTTAAATATTAGTACTATAGAAAAAAAATCTCAACCTGCTATCAAATTACAAGTTTCTAAAATAAGAGTGGAATACTCTTGATATCGCAAATTCCTTAACTAAATTTCAAATTTCCTGACTTTTTAGGTTTTCAAAAATGTGATAACCCTGATATTTAACTAGTTTAAATTAATCAAAAATTAAAATTATGTAATGATTATATTAAACATTATTTGTATGTATGAATTATGAAGTAAATAGTGTATGTGTAATCAATAGAAAAATTGTATTAATCAATAAATAATTATCAGAACAATTTCATATATATTATATAAATTTATAAAAATATTTATTCCGTCCATTTTTAAAAACATAATAGTTTAAACTAAAGATTCTTAACAAATGTATACAATTTGTTTTAAATTCAAGTACAATGAAAATAATCATAGTTAAACAAATATGCTTACGGTTACATCAATAAATTGTCATTTATTTTAGACAGTCAAATATATATATAATTTTAATAAAAATGGATTTTAAATTTTGTTATCTTTTAAAACCACGACCACCTCCTCCTCGTCCACCACCTCCAAATCCACGACCACCACCACCGCCAAATCCACGACCACCACCACCACCACCTCCAAATCCTCGTCCACCACCTCCACCACCTCCTCGGCCAAATGAAGGACGGCCACCCCCACCACGGCCTCCACCGCCACGCCCACCGAATCCACCGCCTCCACGGCCACCGCCACCTCTACCACGTCCTCTTCCGCCACCACCACCTCGACCGCCTTTCTGACCACCAGGCTGAGGTAAAAATTTCTTCAGAGGTAATAATTTTGCAGGATCAATATATAACTGAAATAAAAATAAACCATACAAATAATGTTTCAACAATAATAAAATAACACAGCGAAATAAAACTTACCTTGTCGTCTACTTTAAAAGATTTAGATTTTATTTCAGAATTCAATTTGATAGACACAGAATAATTACTGTACAAGCCAAATATTTCATCTATTTTACCAATTTGTTGTTTATTGGCAAAATATATGGGTGCATTGAAATAAGGTACATCCTCCATGTCAACCTTGCAAACAATGTCATCTTGACAGGAATGTGTAAAATGTCCTAAGGGTATTACCTACATTAACAAAAATAAATCAATTTTTTTCAAAATCATTGCTTGTAATAATATTATACACACGACAATATTTCCTTCAAATTATAAACCCCCAGTTTTTCCCAAAAAGATCAAAATGGCCATTTATTTTACAATGTCATTATGAATATTACATGTATTTGTAACTTTATACATTATAGTGTATTGAAAAAACCTTACATAGTACAACTAATTTAATTAGTAAATTTAAAAAATAAAAATAATTTGTAATGATTTATCCAAACAAAATACATTTTAAAAGTTTTTAATAGCTATAAAACTTCAAGATCTATCAACATATGAATTAATTGACTGGAATATTAAGTAGATATACTTTAAACAATAAAATTAAGCTAAAAAAAAGGACTTTCAAATTTTATATTTTAACTTGTATCAAGAGTCATCACATACATTTCTACAACACTGATAGATTTAATGTCAAGCCAAATAAATACCAAGTCCTAAACCTAGGTAATTACCAATATTGCAAGCAATTTTATTAATTAAAAGGAAAACATATAGGTACAATCATACTTCTTCAGGTGGTCCTTGTTCTGCGAACCTATTGAAACCACCTCTTCCACCACCACGACCTCCACCACCGCCACGGAAATTTCCACCACCACCTCCACTATCTGTAAATAATAAATAAATAATATTTAAAACATTTTAACTAAACTATAAATATTACAATCATTAACTGAACATTCTACTTTATAATAATTTTGAATACATTAAAAATAAGTAGTTAGTGATGGTATGAATAATACAGATTTCAACTTGTACATTCTCGAGTTTGTGCGTGTTATCACTTGACCACAGAACAATACCTACATTAAATTAAGCGAAAAGGTTTGTGGTTGGTATACATTTTTTTTGATTTATAAGGGTGTAATAAAATATTAATGAACATTACATATTGTAGATCAGTAAAGTATTAAAATCCTTTCAGGGAAAAAAAAATTACAAATTTAAACATTTTACGCCAAAACCAATAAATACCCAAGTAACTAATAACTAGTATGTAGTAATTAACAGGTACAATAGGTAGTAATTAATTTGTAAAGCATTAAAAGACCAATTCCAAGTCGTTTTTAAATAATAGACTTATAGAATAGAACATAATTTGTATTTAAAATTCATAGTAATATTATGGTTGACTTACTATTGCCTCTAAAGCCACCACCGCCGCCACCGCCGCGGCCAAAGCTGTTTCTATTATTATTATAAGACATTCTAATTATTTATTTTCTATGTTATGAAGACATTTATTGAACTGGCCAAGTACTGGTCGAAAAGAACAACAATTTAATCGCAAAATCACGTGCTCCGGTGCTCGACGAACGTCTGTAAACGATACAAACAACACTTATCAATCGCTAGTCGCTATAATCATTCAATAACCATCCTTTAACCACTTTGTAATAACCTTAAAATATCGTAAGCATGGCGATTTCGAATTTGCGCCATAGCAGTTAACGACAAAACATTTGTATTTTGATAATAATTGATACTGTGAATTATATTCCATGGTAATTATATGTTTTGTATTTATTTATTAAATATTATTAACGGCTTGAATGTTTAGTTTTTCGTCTTCCGTCCAGTGATTGTAGTTTAATTATATATTATATTTTTAAGTTTTGTGCGAGCATCATATCATATAGCTCTATAAAATTAGATTTAGTTGATGATCAAATCACTAATTTTATTAAATACGAAATGCTCAATAAAATAAACGTGCACCATGTATGAAAACACGAACTCCAAATCTGATCTTTCATCGCTATCCAAGAGCGAACAATCAAATAATGAACAGTTGACTTTGCCCATTGAGATTGACTTTAACCAAATGGACAATGTACCAACAACAAATGAAGACTCATCAATTAACGAACCTAATAAACAATTGCCTACTAAAGACGCAGGTATGAGCTCTCAGTAGTTGGCTACTTACTTTAAATATCAATACCAACATTAATATTTTTCATATTATCTATTGTGTGTGGTATTATTTTTTTTTTTAATTTTCAAACATATTTTAGGATGGAATTCGCATTCAGCAACTTCCCCTGTATTATATTCCGAATTTATAATTCATGGGCCCCGTAAAGAAAATAATAATTCATCATCAATTGAAACAGTAGTAGATTCTGATTGTGAAACCAAACCGGTATTGTTATTTTTATTATTTAATTTAATGAGTATTTAAAACTTGTACTTATATTATGTTAATTCATATTATTCAGCCAAATGAAGAAATAGAAAAATCGGAAGAAAATTCAAAATTTGAGCATGAAAAAATATTTTGTGTAGCTACTATAAGGAGAATATCACCTAATACTATAAAACTGATTGGAGTATGTCAAACCTCTAAGTGGACATTATATCCACATCTTCTTTATCAGTCCAATTACTGAGTAACACAAAAACAATGATTACGTAGAATAACTAAAACAGCTTATTTTTGATTTTGAAGTAAAAATATCTATTATGAAATGTATAGTGAACAATATTTTGGAGGGAATGTCATTGGTATTTTTTGAATTATGGACCATAAAAAAGTTACAATTAAAAAAAAAAGGTTTCTGTATCTTTTATATCGAGCTGTATATTTTGAATAATACAAAAACCCTATGACATTCCCTCCAAAATATTGTTCTCTATAAAATTATAAATAAGTACTTTTACTTTAAAATTAAAATTAAGCTAGTTTTACTTATTCTGCTTAAGTATTGTTTATGCATGTTACCAATAGTTTGACTGAGACTGTAGATGTGGGTATAATATCCTCTTAATGTCTTAAGTTCAAATCAAATTTCAGTACATTCAGTAGATATTGGTCCTTAAATAACTTTTAATATTCAATTAACTTTTTTTTTAGATTTCAAAAATTGATCAAAATGTGAAGGTGGACATAAAATCTGATGGATCTTCTCTTAATGGTTACGCTGCTGATCATTCTAGTTCATCTACAAATTCTACAGTGTAATTATAAATTCAATTTATTTTTGTATATGTAAATTAATCTCCATTCAAATTATTTTTTCCCCTCGAAGAAGGGAATTAGTTATAATTCATTTCTTAAGAGTTCAGATTTATTTGGATATACTGAGCTTGTGATAAATTAAAGTTTTAAACATTGTAAAAACATGTTTATTTTATATAATAAAATTCAACTCTCGTGAAGCACCATTATGTGGCAGTATAAAAAATTACAAAGTTATTAAAATTATTTTGAACTAGTTTTTCACTTAGAATTTTCATCCAAAAGTAAGAAACACCCTAATATTTATATATGTATATATATATTATAAATATGTGTGTGTATATAAATGATTCAATACACAATAGTTTCTATTTTCAAGGAAAATTTGACAGTAAAAAAAAATGGTTATTACAAAAAATAAGGATGGTCTGATTCTTAAAAAATAATATGTGTGTGTTCAGAAAATACTTCTTTTGGTTTTTCAATTCTTGTTCTTTTTTTTTAAGTAAATTAAATATTTTAAAGAAGTTGTATAATAGAAATGCTTATTATTGTTATAATAATTTGTATTCAATATTTAATCTTTTTTAGATGTCATGAACAGTTCACCGTGCCAAAAATTCCAAGAGATTCATTTATGTCATCATCCAGTAGTGGTTCATTATCTGGAGTACCTTTACTTCAATCAAAATGTAACTATTAAAAGTGTCAATATAATATTGTCGGTCTCTCGACAAAACATCGTAAATCATTTTTATAAAATTGCACATAAATAAAAAAACTGGGTAGTTTTAAAGTTTATTTTTCACCTTTTACTAAATATATTATTAGGATGTGGATTTAAATGCTCTGAAAACAATAAAAATATCTTTAAAAAAATTATAATTTTATGGGCTTCTAAAAAAAAAAAAGTACTAGAATATTAGTTCCAGTCACGGTTATAGGTAATTTAATGTATACCTGTTAGCAACGAAAAAACAATTCTGAGTGCAGTTTAGTTGATAGTGATGCTTTGTCAACAATATATATATCCTATTATGGTTAAATAATTAAATAGACATTAATATTTGTTTAATATTGTACCAATTTCCCCATGTTTTTGACAATTTTTCACATTTATACTCCACATCCTACTTATCATCTAATATTCTATTGATGGTTTTTTTTAAATTTTTAATATACAAATTTAACTTGCATATTGTGATTTTCAAAAACTTATAAAATATAAGATTTTATATATGTATGTTGTATTCAAAAGCAACTAACAGAGCTTTGATTGTTTTACTTACTGTTTATTCAAAATCATACATTTTTATATTATTATATGAAAATACAGTCAAATTCACTTATAACGATCTTCTATGGACCTAGGGAATCTGATCGTTATAACTGAACTTCGTTATATCCGGATCATAAAAAGTATCATGATTTTTTTGAAAAATTGATTTCTTAAACATATTTTTGTCAAAACGGCAACTGAACGACTAAGAAATGTAGGTATTCTGTATACAATACGGTCGTACAAGACACATAATCTGTTACAGATAAGATTAAGAATTATCGATTTGGACGAAATCTAATTTACTACACAATGTACAATGTACATGCATATTATTAATCACTATGGGTGATTATAAAAACCAATTTTCGTTTTAACATAACATCGCTATATCCGGATTATCGTTATAACCGATATCGTAATATACGAATAAAAGTATTATACATAACATATAAAACCAACCAAATTCATTGATTGGAATCGTTTTACCCGGAATATCGTTATATACGGCATCGTTATAGGTGAATTTGACTGTACTACAAAAATTTGAACAAAATAATATCAGACTTTAAAAAAATTTAGAGTATTATTATATGAATAAAAAAATCATTTTTTTTTTACCTGCGAGAATTTGCCATGAAGCTGACAATATATTGTTTCTGCAAATCAGTAATAAACTTTGGTATAGATTATGAGTGTTACAATAAATATATTTATATAATCTGTGTACACTCCAAAATATCTATAATTTTAGTGTAAAAAACAAATATCAATAATTCAAATTTCCTTGTTCTCATATTATGTTTTGTAACAAGAGTATTCTTTTAGCAATGGAAATGTAAACTTTATTTTGTAGAATAGGTTTTTTTTTTTAATTCTTTAATTTCTTATTCTCATAATTTGCATAAATATAAATAACTATTATTTTACACAGATTAATTAAAAATAATAATTGTATAGATATGAAAATAGAACAATTAAAATAAAATGCTCCTCTTATTTAAATACCTATGTGTTAGAAATATAGCAGCTCATTGATTATATATAAAGTGATTCACTAAGTGTGTTCACCCCATTTTTTGTTTAAATTTTGCATTTTTTGAAATTTTCAAGTGTAATTAAAGTTGATATTTTTTTGAAAATTTAGATTTTTCACCACATTTAAGGAGTACCTTGTGGTAATACCAACTGGTTTTTCAAATTAGAACGTATATTAAAAATTCCATAAATAGACGCAGTATTATTTTAAATACATTTTGCTGTTTACATGCTAACGAGATATTCCACTTTTAAGTTTTTGGTAGGGAGAGAGTGAAACAGTATTAAAATGCCATGCACCATGCCGCCAAACAAATAATAGTCCACTACCCTCCCCTTACCTAAACCTAAAAGTGGAATATTGTGTCAACAGTTTGACAGAAATTAAAACTATTGACACCAAAATTTATTTAAAGGAACACTCCGCTTATTTATGGAATTTTTAATATAGGTCTCATTTGATAAAATCGAAGTTAGCATCGCTACAAGATACTCCTTAAATATTGTGACAAATCTAATTATTCGAAAATATCAGCTTTAACTACACTTAAAAATTCCAAAAATCAAAATTTGAATGTATGCAAAATTAAACCAAAAAAATGGAGTGAGTAATCGCCCTATATATATAAATCTACAAAATAGTACATCGTAAAAAATCTACTCATTATATGAAAATATAAAATACTCTTTAAATCAATTTATTCAAATTTTTTACCCCATATAATAGGTTAATAACTACGGGTGCTAAAAAAAAATAAATTTAACTACTACAATTATTATAACTTTTATTTCTAATTGACTACTTTTATTTGAGTTTGAAATACTTTGACTTTTCAAATGTTAAATACATTTTCAATTTGTTAATTAATAATTTAACATGTTTGCAGTCAAATCAGAAAATATTTTAGTATCAAGAAACATGTATACCTGCACAGATAATTTTGTTTGCCAAAAATGCAACCATGTGTACCCAAAAATAACAGAGAAGTTTAGTTTAGATAGAAACCATCATGAAAATAACATACAAAAAAAGCCGCAGTAAGAAACATATATTTGTTCAAATCTGAATATTTAATTTTTTATACTTAATTCATATATACTTCATACATTGATGTGTATGTTATAGTGTTGATAGAAAACCAAGTCCAAAGAAAAGACAAGTATTAAACATAAAAAATAAAAGTAGTTCAAAAAAAACATTAAAAGTAAATATTTTATTATAACATTTTACTAAGCATTCTTGCTTGTATTTATGGTTTATTTATTTTATTGTAGAAAAAAAAAGACATTAAAATAAAAGAACTTAAAAATAATAACATTATACCAACAAATTTAATTGATGAAGAGCACATTACATTTGATATTGGTTTGTAATTTACAACTATTTAATATGTGTTTATGATTAACATCAATTTTATTTTATTATTTTTCATTAATAGGTGATAAGGTTCTTGCTTACTGGATAGCAGACAAACTGTTTTATCCGGCCACTATAATTGGTATTATGCCTTCAAAGTATCGAGTGAAATTTACAGACGGTGTTGAAAAATTAGTAACTATTGAAGGTCTTGTACATTGTGAAGCGCTAAAGATAAATTCTCCTATTGCAGTTTGTGATCGTGTTTCTCAAGAATATAGAGTTGGTGAAATTGTTTCTATTAATAGGTAGGTTTAATAGTAATAATAATTGTTATGATAAATTATAATATTTACAGTTTCATAAATTGGTTTTTCTAGTATTACAAATGGAGACAAAACATACACAGTTGATCTTGAGTCAGAAGTGGTTGTAGTTCCTTTTGATAATATAGTATTAGAGGTTGAAAGTGCTAGAAAGTTACAAAGTAAAATTGTATTCAAGAATTACCATAGACTTAGTTTGTGTAAATTGTTTATATTATTATTATTTATTATTTGTTATCATCAAATTAAAAATATTTTATTTTAATATATTAGCGAATGTATCTGAAGGGAAAAGGCTACGATCGTCACGATCAACCAACACCACAGAAAAAACAAAAGATATATCCAATAAACGTAAAAGTACAAGTCAAGTAGGACCATCTGAACCAAAGAAAAAACGAAAATGTCTCTTCCCTGAAGCACCTGATCCTAGAGACATCCCTAGTACCAGTACAGGAATAACTGAAGAAAATTATGAAATGGCTAATCATATTGTGTTTTCTTCAGATTCTGAATTTGAGTAAGGAATATAATTTTCAGTAGTTCAATTCTTTAGCATTAAATAAATAAAAACTAAAATATTAATTTATTAATAACTAAAAAATATATCAGGGTTCGCTGATAATTATAAATTGATAATTGTCTAATCCCTATTATCCAAAATAATATTAAAAACAACTCCGATAACATTATTTCTAAAAAAAATGAACAGAATTATTTTTTTTACTTAAGTCATGAATAAAAACTATTAGGAAATGGATTATGTAAACATTACCCGACTAAAGTAACTTTAGCCATCGTGTATGACTAATGTAAATTATTATTAATAAATTCATAATATATATTTATTTCAATAAAATTAATTAATATAAGTCAACAATTAAATATAAGACCATCGTCTAAATGATAAATCTATTTGTCTTCTCCGTTAATAGTTATTACATCATATGTTTTTAAATTTCAGTAATCTGAGCTTTTCAGTTTAATTTTGCGTTTTTAACTTCTAATATTATTTTGAAATTATTATTATTATTTTTTTTTTTTTGAGATTATTAAATCGAATTTTGGTTTACTCCGCAATAAATTTATTGAAAATCACACAAAAATTGTCTTTTGAACACATTATATTGCAGACGTATTTGTTTTACTCCGAACACAATTAAATTTCAACTGACATATGGGTTAGGTACTTTTAATATAAAATAGGTAAAATTTAATATTTGGAAATAAATTTCAAATGATTGCCAGATATGTTATGGTGTATTGTTACTGTTAATTATTATTATTACTATTATTATAGTAAGTTAAAATGCTATCTTATCTTAGTACGATTTTCACGTCTTAAAAACTTATCTATAACTATCTTACAATTAGTTCCATTGAAAATAAAATACAATACCAGGTTTGAACATTTTTTTAACAAGTTCATCCATCCATCAATGTCTAATGTACAAAATAGCCGGTTAATGTGTAAAAACTATGATTATAATTTTGATTGTTAACTTTATCCAACTAGTATAGATAATGTCCATTTTTTTTTTTAACAATAAACACAAAGATTTTTAATTATATACATAGTATTACCTACATACTTAAACACTATACATTTTCATTTTTGCTTTAAATTAGTTAATAATTAGATATTGATGAATATCAATTCCTGAAATATATTGTTGATTGTAAAATTGGATCATATTTTTTTTTTTAGTCACATCAGAGAAGATCTAACAAAAGTAAATATGAGGAAATTTAAATACTCTGATATTGACAGCGAGCACTCATCTCCTGAACAAGATAAGCATATAATAAAAAAACTATCAATTAATAATTGCATGCCAGTATTTAAAGATTTATATTTTGTACTGTCTTATGCTGCATTTAAACGAATACCAACGTGCAATGCGAGCGACCTTAGTGAAGACGAATTGTTGTCAAGTAAGTAAAAATTTGAATTAATTTTAATGTATTTTAAATTAAAATACTGAATAATTTGTGTTAATGTTGTTTTAGATTCACAATATTTTGAACCTAATAAGTTACATAAAAAAATATTGGAAGCCACAATATGTCAACATGGGGGTCATGTTTTTAAACATTTAAACATTATACCCAAGTCCCATTACAAACTTACTTACCTAATTACTGATACTCCTTCGCAAACATGTAATTATTTTTTGAGTTTGAGCCTTGGTATACCATCTTACCATCACAAATATATTGACCTAGCCATATCTCAAGTATGTAATTATAAAAAGTTAAATAAATTGTTTTTCATTTAAGAATTTAAAATATATATTATTATTTATTTTAGAAAAAATTATTACCTATGAACTCATTTTGGGTACTTGGTTTTAAAATGTTCTTTATAATTTACTCCCATACCTGTATTTAATTATTATATTTGAGAAAATCCTAGTTATTTTACAGTAGTTTAATAGTTTTCATTATATATAATCAAATCTCCAAAAAAAAAAAAAAAAATTTCTTATGAAAACAGTTACAGTCAACTTGCGATATAACAAATTTCACAAAATAATTCGGTATTTTTAAAGTTTATAATATCAAGAGCATAAATGAACAAAATTTGTTTTAATGAGATTTGAAGGAAATTCAAAATTTAAAAATATGCTACACATACATATTTATTTCCATTTAATAATATTTACATGCTTGTACATATAAACATAGTAAAATCACAATATGTATAAAATATCTGAGCCATTATATTTATACATATATGTACAGTAATGTAAAGCATATTTCTGTACATTTTTTGTAGAAGCATTTATGTATACATTCATCGACATTTTGTTTAGCGATAATGTATGCTAGAAAAACTTCGTAATAATCTACTATTTTATTCTATTTTTATAAGTTATGTATTTTTCATTAAGACAATATACATTAGCAGATGTGTATCTTATTTTAATAAATATTAAAAATTTGAAATATCAAGCTCCAAGATTGTAAGAATTTGTTATATCATGAGTGCTTTGGCCGAAAAAACTTCATTATATCTAAAGGAACCAAATACATTTAATTTTTATTATTATATCTTATAAAATAAAATAATTATATAGTTTTAAAACTATCATTCACTATTAAACAACATATTGACATTTATAATTTATTATTAATTAAAATGTTTTAATTTAATTTTTAGAATCTATCGTTTCCTGAATTTTTAACTCGTAATAATATTAAACCCATACCAAATGGTTGGAGCGTAGAAAAGAAATCTATTATTTTTCGTTCCCCTTCAACTGTCCATAGAGAGATATTTTCCGAGTACATAATATTTTTGGCTTTATTGGGAGTACCGAAAAATGAATTTTTTTCTGGTATACTAAAATTTTGTGGTGCCATAGTATACACCTCTTGGAATGATGGTATGCAAATTTATTTAATTTAAAGAACATATAATATCAACATTGCTTAAAGTGTGTTTACAAACTATTTTTTTTAGATGGACCTACTGCGCCATCACCATACCACCACACTGTCATTGTTACGGATGAATATTGTCCAACAGTACTTGCACGATCAAAACTTCCTAAATTATCCTTACATTGGGTAATTCAGAGTTTAATATGCGAATCTGTCCGTCCTTTTGATGGCCATGAGAGCTATACGGCAATAAATGATGACAATAGTGTATAAGGTTTAACATAAAATGAAATTAATTTGTTGAATTTTTTTGTTGTGTCCAATTTATTATTTATTTATTTGTGATGTGATAATTTTAAATAAGGAGTAGGTAATAAAAACAAGTCTCCAATAATTATTATGTATTCTTTTAATATTTGAATGCATCTCAAATTACTCTGTATTATTTTTATTTCAATATTAATAATGATCAATTTTAGATTTATTATTATTATTCATATTACTTATTTTTAATGTTACAGTACTCTGGCATAATTGATTTACATAACAAATAATTATCTTGCATCATGATATTAATCATTTTTGTTTGATGATAAATTTTGTTCGTTTTATACTTATTTTATTTGACTTTTCAAAAATGTTTTTTTCTTACCTAATGCATTGCATATAAATAAATATATATTTTTTTAATCAAATGTATGTACAAAATATATTCAAAAGTTGTTGTAAGATTTTTTTTTTTGGAATATGTTACTCACTTGTGCTAAATTTAATACAATTAAGTATCAACGCAAATATGTATTCTTTTGAAAACACAAAAAACTAAATTAATAATTTCAAATTATTGAAGAAAAAAAAAATCAAGTACAAATTAAATATGTTATATTTTGCTCAATTTATTGTTTTCTATCAATGGTCCCAAACGCATTTCTTTGTTTCCTACGTTGTGAGTGTTAACTATTTATAAAATGTTGATGTTGTCACTTTATTTATAACATTGATACAGTATATAACAATGTAATGCCATTCAGCAGGACAGTACTGGTGTATAATGAATAAATGTTTGCCAGGGGTAGCAATGAATACATTTGTGAAAACATTAAATTTGTACAAATTATGATCAAGAGTGTATTAATTTCGCTAATAAAAGTTATTTTTACTTATAATATATAAAATAATATAATAATGTCACTACTTGTATAAAATGTGTTCAATTTCAATTTATACTAAATGATATAGCACAGATAGTATTCAGTAGTGGCACAACCAAAATTTTTTGAAGAGGGGTATCACATGTTTATGTATTTAATAAAGACAAGTGTATTTTATTAACACCTTTTAATACATTTATTTAACTTATACATAGACCGCTAGAAACAGCCCTTGGTTGCTTCACTATATACTAGGTGAAAAGTCCTCGATAAACATTCATTAATTCAGAAAGTATTAATTTTTATCAAAAATTAAGAAACAAGCAGATCTAAAATGCTACATCACTATTAATTTTTAAAGCTTATATTTGGGGGAGAAACCATTACCCATGATTAATTTTCAAAAAAGCAACCCAATATTTAAAGTTCCCATCAACTTGTTAACAAGATATTTCATGTTTAATTTATGACAATAGAAGAATGATGCATAATATGTGTTACGACTAAGACTTAAGAGAATGTTATACCCACATCTACTGTCTCAGTCCAACTACCGGGTAACATACATAAACAATGCTTACACAGAATAAGTAAAACTAGCTTAATTTTGATTTTAGAGTAAACGTATTTATTACGAAATTTATAGAGAACAATATTTTGGAGTCAATATCATGGAGTTTTTGTATTATTCAAAATATACAACTCTATATAAAAGATACAAAAACCTTTATTTTTTTTTTAATAACCTTTTAAGATTCTGAGTGGGGAGTAAGGAATGTATTGGCTTTACATAGATATTTTTTTTTATTTCAACACTTTTTACCAGAAAGGATACTTCGATTATCAAGTATAGCACCTTTTCTAAAAGGAAATGTTCTCTGGATGGTACGTTAAAGGTAATTTTTAAAAAATTCTCATTAATATTTGAGGTAATTAGGAAAACCTGGTTTTTTAGGTTAAAAGAGATTGAAAGATTAAAAATATGGTTGTCATTTGCTACCGTTTTTAGTTATTTTTTGTTATTATTATTTTATATCATTTTTAAGCAATCATTGTTGTCATGTAAAAACATATTGTTGTAATCATTTTAACATATGACAGCTGACAAAGCAACACAATCAACTGAACTCCGCTCATAATTGTTTTTTCATAAGCAATGGTTTATCATTACTTACAGATATATATTAAGTTCCCAACTTCCCACCTAAAAAAGTGGTTGCATCTACATACAAAGTATGTTAATCCTTTTTCTTTTTATTTTTTAAATAACTATAATTTTTTTAACAGTTGATAATTCAAAAAACACTGATGAAATTTTTTCCAAAATATTGTTCTCTATAAATTTCAAGTACTTTTACTCTAAAATAAAAATTAAGCTGGTTTTACTTATTATACATAATCATTGTTTTTGTATGTTACACGGTAGTTCGACTGAGACAGTAGACACGGGTATAATGTCCTCTTAAATAGTGTTCCACTACTTTCCCTTCACATAGTTAAAAGTACAATATATCGTCAATAGGCAAATGGAAATTATACATTTCAATAACAAAATTTGAAATTTTTAAAAAGGTTGCTATTTGAAAATTAAAAATTGAGTGGTTTCACCCTTAAAAATGAAGATAAAAGAAATTAATGGTATTATAAATTATTCAACAAAAAATTATACCTTCCGATATATGAACGGCATATCTATTAAAGATTCATCCCCTGTATAAAAAAAAACTTGTTAGCTAAATAAGCATCATATTTTTTTTTACAGATGTGAACGTGAAATCATTTTTTAAATGAATATTAAATCCCCTTGATTGTTGAAATTAATAAAATTACAGAGTATACAGAGTAATACAACTGATGAATAAAAATATTTATTCAAAGGTAATCACTAAAATTAACAATACTCAATTTTAATAATAGAACAATAATGATTTTATTACAATATATAATACCGTCTAGTGACTAGGCGCATGTATCTAAAGTTCCATACTCTCATTAACAATAAGTAATGATTATTATAACTCATACTGTAATTACATATTATTAATACAATATTTAGAATATCCAGAGCATTTGTATTCAGTCAATTTTTTACAAATTTATGTTTTTAATTTTACGACAAACACATTTTTCATGTCATTAAATACATAAATGATAGATATTCAAATAGGTAGGAAAACATTTGTCTAACAAACATAACAAAAATTCAATAGTCATTGAATTGTCAATAATTGAATTAAGTAATTGAGTTTTTTTTAACAGTTAGCATGTTAAAAGTCATGGGCGATAGATTTATTTTTGATTTTGAAAATTAAAAAGATAAATGATACAAATAAAACGACTACAAATTATTATCTATGTGATAAATGAAATGGATGGCGAATGATGTTAAAAGTATCTTAGGATTGTTTTTGTTTTCTAAATTAATTACCTAAATATTTATCACAGAAAACAATGATTCTGTAATCATTTGAAAAAATCTGAATTCTGGATTAAGTAACTATAACTTGTATTATAAATAATTAAATAGAAAGGAACAAACGCGAAAAACTCGTGGGGGTTATTGCTAATCTGTGTGGCCTAGTGTTTGCACAAAATAAATATACACAAATACTTATTTAAATATTTAAATCAATTTCTTTGTGTGAAATTAAGATGATTCTTGAATCTTACGGCAAATTTCATCTGTAAACTCTGAACACTTGGCTTTTCCGCCCAAGTCACCAGTTCTGTATTTGCCTTCTTTGATTGTTTCAAAACAAGCTTTTTGGATAATATCAGCTTTGCTATTAAGTTCCATGTGACGGAGCATCATGACAGCTGATAAAAGAAGAGCAGTAGGGTTGGCCAAGTCTTTACCTGCTATATCCGGAGCTGTTCCGTGGACCTAATCAATTTTTTTTTTTTACAAACATAAAAATAACATATCTAATACAATATTTGTTTACTTACAGATTCAAATAGAGCACCGTTACTGCCAATGTTTCCACTGGGTGTCAAACCTAAACCTCCAACTAAACCAGCACACATATCTGACAATATATCACCATATAAATTAGGCATGACCAAAACGTCGTAAAAACTAGGGTCTTGAACCATGGTTAAACAAACAGTGTCTAAATATTTTTCTTCAAATTTTATTTGCGGGTACTTTGAAGAGGCCTTACGGCAGCATCTCAAAAACAAACCATCAGACATTCTCCTAAACATATCACATATCATACATAGATATACAATATATATAATATAAATATATAATACATACATGATGTTAGCTTTATGTACAGCAGTGACTTTGGATCGTTTATTTTCAACAGCATATTTGAAAGCGAATTCAGCTACTCTAGTGGAAGCTTCCTCTGTGATCAGCTTGATAGATTGTACAACGCCTTCAACAATTTCATGCTCAATCCCAGAATATTCACCTTCAGTATTTTCACGAATTGTCACTACGTCAACGTTTTCATAAAGAGTCGGATAACCTTCAAGTGAACGACAGGGCCTTACATTAGCATATAAATTGAATTCTCTAAATAAAAAAAAATAAATAAATGATTTACACAAAACAAATTATCAGTAGAAAAAAGTTCTAAACAACTTTAAAGTATTTACTTTCTAAGCGCTAAGTTCAAAGAACGATGACCTTTTCCGACAGGTGTCATAAGAGGTCCTTTTAAGCCAATTTTATTTGTGTTTACTGATTCAATAGCTTTAGATGGTATTTTCATTGTACCATCTGGAGCTTTCACTGGTGTAACATCAACTACATCCCATTCAATTGGTGTCTGAAAGAATAGTATTATACAGCTATCGATAGGTATATTTGGACAATGTTACACATTATTAAAACTCAATTCAACTGATTATTAATTGACTTTATCAGAAAGAGATTAAATTTTGACAACACTAAATATGCAAATTATTACTAGATCCAGTTAAGAGCTAGTTTGCAGGTTTGTTTTAATGTTCTCTATTTCGATATAATAATATATAGTATTTAATATTTATTTTAATTTTTATGAAAAATAATGGATAAAATACCTAATATGTCCATTTTGTTTATTGGACTATTGTGATGAATCCGGTTATATTTACAAATAACTTTTTTGGTTTTATTAATTTAGATTCCAAGGATTTTTTGTTATTAGGCACAGAGTCAACTAAGTTATACAAATTAAAAAGAATTAAAAAAAAAAAAAAAAAAAAACAAATAATATGACAATAATGAATTTGTAATTTAAAAAGTATTGTTAGAGTATTAAAAATTGACATTACCAAACACAGAGCAGATGAATCCAGGAAACAGTGGCTTCTAAAATATCCGATCGTTAAAATTATTATTGTTATATTAAATTGCAGTGATAAAATTATTTTTTCAAAACAGCGCGATCCCGTTTTTTCATTACGTATTCAAATATATTAAACAGTAGACACTAATTGATGTACGCGAAAAAAAAAAAAAACGAATAATACACCACCTACTTAAAAAAAATACTCGTAATGTTAATATTAAGGGCATTCGTGCGATATTCGAGTTTACATTTTACAGATATGACTGCGAAACGCCTATCCAATGATAAATAACGAAAATAAATTACTTTGGCAGCCTCGAAAATTTTCTGCACTGCAGCCGAGATTTCGGGGCCGATTCCGTCACCGGGAATCAGCGTGACTTTTCTCGTTTCTGCGCTGTAGGAACGTGCTAGGTATTGGGAAATATTGTTCTGTCGAAAAAAAACCAAATTTTCACGTTAAAAACTTAATGCCCGTCCACTGGACGTCGGTATACGATACCAGTTTTTCGCATCGTACCGTCGCCGACGGCAAAACGTTTCGATACTTACGAATTTATGGAATATCCTGTGAGCCATCGCGGAGTATCTGTTATACCGATGTACGGGGACGGCGAGTGTGTAGACGGGTTTGAGACGGACAAGAGCGGATCCGTTGGCTTTGGGTTTTGGAAGACCGTATTTTCTTCGTCTGGTCTGGCCTAGTGAGAGGGCTGATTAAAAAAAAAGTGATTAAGAGGTTAAAGGAACAGCTGACGTTTTCTCCGCGGAGTTGGGCTAGGCGATTTTTCTTTTTTGCTCCATGACGGGAGCGCGCGATTTGTTAACGTCGGTTGATAACGGTCCCGAAAGACGGGGGCCACGTCCGGCCCGCACGGCGGACGGGCTGCGCGGAATGTTATTTTCAAACCGGACCGCGCCGCCGCCGTCGTTCGTCTCGATACGATACAATGCGTAATTTAAATAGGTTAAATATTATTGCGACGCTGTTTACCGTCAGCTGGCCGGATTAACGATCGGTCCCCGTAGCGGTCGCTCGGTCCCGCACGCCGTCGTACCTGCCCCGGCCCCTGTGCGCCGCGCAACATTTTTACGACGGCGAAGGACGTTCTCCGCTATCGGGCCGCGGTCAACAGCGTGCGTTTTTTAAACACGTGACCGGCGCGCCGGACGGGCACAATGGCTTAATAATGAATTGTAATCAGACTTCGGACTCGACCGCGCGCGTACTCGAATGGCAATTGGCCGCGCATTTCTCTCGGCCCGTACTCGACGCAAGGTTTCGAAACGGTAGCCCGGCGGCGATCGTTGCAATACATTGTCGTTGCCACGTAGGCGCGCCCGTCGGTGTTTCGCGCGGCGACTTTTGTCGACATTGCACGGGCCGGTGTAATTATCGGGCGCGCGTGGACGGCACTCGTTCACGCGGAAAGTCGGTCAAATTGACGGTTGGGGGGGTGAGGTGTGGCGGTTGGAGGGGTGGGGGGCGACGGGAGGAATGCGTAAAATATCCGAAAATATATCGTGAGAAACGTAGAATACCTATAATGGGCCGTAACGTGTGGCGAGAAGCGTGCTCGGTTCGAAAGGCCATTTCGCCGGAACAGCGTTTCGCCCGAAATGCGTTTTCGTCGAAAACTAACGCGAAGAAAAACGTTTTGTTCGACCGGCGTCAACGGACGTCCGTTTTCTGGAGGGGGTGTAGGGGAACAAAAAGAGGACGTGTCTCCCCCCCGGCTTTTTCGTGACGGCTGTACGTTTACGCGCAAAATATTGTCATATCGATATTAAATACATTGAACACAATGAAAAACCGATGATCGTATACATATAATTTTGTGGCGCAGGATTATTTTCACCGGCGGTTTCCCGTTGGTGGTCGACGACATGGCGGAAAAATCGAAATGGTACCCGTGTAGGCGAATCGTTTAGTAGTCTCAATTACAATCGACGGGTAGAATCCGTCGGTGTGTGCGGTCAGATAATTCCGTCCGTTTTCCGCGCGTATTATTTTTATGTTTAATCCGTTACCTTTTCCGTCAGTTGACAAATTTATCGTCATTTACGCGATGACCATAACCTCATGCAAAATGTACAACTATCGAATGCCTACACTGACGGGGCAGAGACCAACTGGATTGTGTAGTGTACGTAGACGGAACATCCAAAGTGTCGTTGGCCGACTTTCAAAAAATAAACGTATTCGCAGTCTTGTTTTAAGATCCAATCAAACTAATCTACAAACTTTAATGTACCCGGCACATTTTGTTAATTAAATAATAAAGCGCGATATTTGTGTTGTATATTTTTCAGTTCATTAGAAATTTAACTACCTACGTGCTCTTGGTTATTTTATAAATAATTATACGACCGTAATAAATACTATTGTAGGAAATATAGGAACACAGCCGTACAATGTTGTGCTACGTAAACTTACGTATTATACCAGTCAATAAGTCAACAGGAAGGTACAACGTGTCGCATTGAGAAAATACAGTGCCCTCACCCTGGATTTTCGAAAATGGACGCCCTTGACAGTACTATTTTATCTAAACGTATTTTTATTGAAAATATATTAGCAGAATAATATATTTTAACGTCTTGGTTTTAGATCATCAAGACCCTAGAATCTAGGACGTTTTGCCCCCGTCAAGAAAAATAGCGGACGTTTGTCCCCGACCGTAGAACATCAACGGGAAATTATTAACCACAGAACATCGCGTTTTCTTCCACTGGTATTTGCGACAGATAATAAATAGAATGTTGGTGCCGTTAGCGGTATAGTAGATTTACGGCTGGATCTAATGCAATTTTTTTTTCCATCGTGTGGGCCACGTTATTAAACTTGAAAAAAAGTAGATGGACATTCAGCACCATTTCGAATACACGTACACATACTATACATAAATACAGAAATACTATTAACGATTCTGGAAAGGTCGTGCATTTCTGCCGGCTCTGCAGAAAGCATTTTGAATATTGCCCAGAGGGCAGCTTATATTCTATCAGGTTTATTCAACTTAACATAATTTCATATGATAAAAACACAAAATATTATACAGATTAAATATGTTTGCATTTACATCATACGACTCGCGTGGTCAACAATTACATGCAGATGATAAAATACAAATGTATAACAACGATATTTTTGTGTGCCAAATCTATTCTACAACATCATAACAATAATAACAATGATTACATCGTAATTTTTTTTTTTTTACAAAATTTAAAATTAAGAGTTAATCAAATAACAACTTTAAAATATAACAAAAGCGAATTAAACAAAAAGTTTCTAACAAATATTATTATGTAACAATAATTTGATTGAACAAATTTTAACAACACCAATCACAGTATCTATGTATCTCTTTGATTCCTCTATTAAATCAAAAAGACCTCTATTTTAAACCATATTCAATACTTCAGTCTTGTTCAGTCTATTCTCATCCAATTCCTTTGCATCACCAGTAACACAATGTCTATTAGCCTTAAAACTTGCATGCACTTTCATCCGACTAAGTTGAAATTACTGATGAAGTTTTACTGTTATTAACAAAACTTATAAAAAAAAAAAAAATTGTACAAAATATTCAATTCATTTCATACTTGTTACTAAAATAATAACATTTTAAAAATATGTACAGTGCTTGATTCAAGTTGAACTTAATTTCTGTGGAAATAAATTACAATGAAACCCTATTAATTAAAATAATAAGGAAAGATCAATGTATTAAAGCTTTGGAATTGTTTTCATCTGACCCAGTGGTCTCGTAGCGGATACATTTTTAATGGACATAGAATACGAACTGGAAGATGTTGGACCTTCATTTACAAAGTTCTAGTCCCTTTGGATAGGAAGACTATAGGCTATTTAATGTGCTTTACTTAATAAGAAAAATTACTGGGGAAAAATTTAACTTAGGTATCTGTGCATATCAAAAATAATTCTATTCAACCCAAAAAAAGAAATCTTGGGTATCACAAACTTTACAAAATATGGTACACCTGTAGTATAAACGAAAAATCAATTTACAAATTTGCGGTATAGGGACTTTGCGCCGTGGTTGACGTGAGTTGGCAACTTATTTGACTCCGTGTTCTCTCACTTGGTTATGTGAAGTAGGCAACCCAACATACAGGTGACCGGGTACGATGACGTCACGACGACGATGACGACAATTATCAACCAACGACGGGATACAGATTTCGTGGACAAAAAAAAGCGTAAACGTAGTTTAGCTCCGAAGCGATTTTTTTTTCCGAAATGTATGTTTTTGCATGTATGGTACTTTCAAAAAAAGTCGCTCAAACTTCATTTGGAAGTTAAAATCAAAAAACTTCAAAATGCTCGATTTTTCTAAAAATCGTGTTTATGAGTTTAAAATACTAAAAATTTATATTTTTGGAATTTTTTTTTTTAGAAACGATAGTAATTATATGTTTAACATTTCGGTGGATTCAAAGTTCACCTATCGCACTTACTTTTAATGTTATTGTCAATAAACCGCGTAAAATCTAATTATAATGTTATTTCAATCATTTGCATAATTAAGTAGCTCAAAATTGATTTTTCAAACTTTTATTTTTTATTCGGTGTGTAATAACACGAAGACGTTTTTTGGTGAAATCAAAACTAATATTTTTTGGTTTAGAAGAAATAGTGGAAAAATGTATCTTTTCTCATGGGTACATAAACATCACATTTTACCTTGATACACGATTCAACACGTACCTTATAAAAAACCTACATCTTACTCATATCTAACTATATCTATAATTATTTTAAAACAATGATACGACCGGGTTTGTTGATGAGATGTTGCCGGTCCCGTGAGGCAACACAACTGGACGACTTGGACAGCCAAAACCCCGACACGTAGTGACCGGCGATGGACTTCCGCAATGGATCCGATACGATCACGCTACTTTTTGGCTCAGTTAGTTATTGAGTGATTGGTGTCGCAAAGGTGTTACGGGAACCGAAACGACGAACGCATTTCGGTCACTAGAGAAAGTACAACAATGATAGTATATATTTATATATCGCCGTAAACGGCGCAACACAAAAATAATCATAAATGTAACAATATGGCTTTTTTTTTTCTGCAAATCAACAAGGACAAATATAAGTATACGACAATATGGTCGATTTGCATAGTTCACAGACAACATAACAATTTAATTACAATAAAAAAATTCATAAAAATTGGGAAAGACCTTGGAAATAATAATTGGACAGAACGAAAAATATGATTTGTACCCCTACGCAAACAGCTGTTGACAAGAATTAAATCAAACTTTTCAAAAATTGCATAAACCACATCAAAACATAGCTGTTGATGAATCAATAGTAACATTTTGAAGGTCTTTCTACCATAAGACAATTTATGCGGGACATACCGATTAAAAGAGGTTTAAAATTATGCAGGGTGATCAATCTATCATAAGACACTAATTGTTTCGGTAAGTATTAATTTTTTTCGATATTTGTTTTATAGAAAATTTTAGAAACAAGCAGTTCTGCAATATTACATTTATGTTATTTTTTGTCACTTTAATTCTTAGGGATGAAAGTACTATCTAATTTTGATTTTGAAAGGGCAACCTATATTAAAAATTCCATAAATAGATGGAGTAGTAGTTTAAATAAATTTTGATGTTTAAATTTTAAATTTCCGTCAATCCGTTAACGAGATATTCCATTTTTAAGTTTGGGTCAGGGGAGAGTAGTGGGGCATAATTTGTGTGGCGGTACAGCGTGCAGCGTTTTAAGAATGTACCACTCTTCCCTGTATACTCTCCCCTGAACCAAACTTGAAAGTGGAATAATATCTCGTCTTAGTGGACAATTTCGAATGTCTTACTTAAGATTATTCTTTTAGTAGGGAAAGTAAAAAAAGGTATGTGTGTTTATTTTCCCATTTATTCGTGATCAAAGTTGCTAACGCCTTCAATATGCACAAAAAAATTAAAAATATGTCCCAATTATCAATTAAAGATTTTGATAGAAGCCTATACTTTGAACTACTGGCCAAACAAATTTTAAAATCAAAAGAATCAACACCAAAACCTCAGGATGTATTATCAATAAAACAAATCTCGAAATCAAGAGTACCTGAAAGTATACGTCTTGATTCTTGAATTATCAAGTCATCAACCACAAAAAACTACTTCTAAAATCTATGGAAACAGTAGCATTAAAAAGAAACTAGTGAGCTACGTCGGGCATTGTATAGCCTGAAATGGTGTTGGTAAAATGTTGAAATTTGAACATGAATTCAGTAGGACCTAAAAAAAAGGGGGTCAACAAGGCTTCGGGTAGAAGTGTTTAAATTAATGTAATGACATGAAAAAGTGTTTCGTTATCTAATTACCTAAATATCATTACCTACCTACTCGTCATGACCATAATAATTGGGCGACGCGCAGTGTTGTATAATCAGTACGTATGTACATTTGGCCCACCGAGAGTTCTAAAAAAAACGGCGGAATCACAATTATTGTAGTGCCCGAGGGAGTTGTGTGACGAAAAAAAAAAAACCCGGTAATAATTGTCTGTATTATATTATTACTATACTATAAAAAATTATTATTATTATTTATTATACGAGTCAGTAGCGTACACAGAGGTGGGATATGGGGGATAGAGCCCCCCCCCTTGAACTTTTTTTTTTAGAATTTTTTGCCTTTATAGTGTTTTTGTAATAAAAATATTTTGTTTAAATAATATTTTCTTTTGGTGATAACCGTATCACAAAATATATTGTATGGCTATGGTGTAGACTCAAATCTATTTTATTTATACCATATTTTCTTATCTAATCTAATTAACGCAATGGTTGATAATAAATGTGTAGGTATTCTAGTATTCTGAATTTTATGATTTTTCATTTTGATATTTTAATAAAATAGTTTAGTGTTTCACGTTCAATAATGTCGAAAAACAATATAAGTTTAGAATCTTAATTTAAAGTAAGACTTTACTTTAAGTTTACTTTAAAAAGTTGACAATCAAATAACAATGTAACTGATACGAGTGGTGGAAACCAGGTCGTATCAGTTCGATTTGCCGTTTACAGGTACTGGTACAGGTACATCGTGAGAAATAATAGTAAAATGTACCGGACGGAACGAATCATTTGGAATCGTTCCTTTTGTGGACCTGGAACGAAAAAGACGAAAAATCCCCTTGCTATCACCTATATATATATATCTTGCATAATACGCCGGTGTCAGTGGCGACATCAAGATTTTGAATTGATGGGGGGCTTATACGGTTTTGCTTGAACCATATGGGCGTAGGTACAGGTTGTACTTGTGGTCAAAAAAGTAATTTTTTTGCGCTTACGGGATCTTTATTTTAAAGTCACTTTTAAGTTGCGTATATGAATCCTGAATTACGTTCATGGGATACAGCCCTCTATGTTCACGGATGTAAAGGGTCCACCGCGTTAAAATTTATGTATGCAGGTGTAACTGTATAAGTGTGTACCTATATCGAAATTACACAAAAAAAAAGCTAATTTCATAGTTATTCAAGTTCAGCCTCAGAACCCACTGAACCCTTATTTCGGCATTGTAAGTGCTATGTAACCCTCCTCCCCGTTCGAAATGTCTGCGATACCTACATTTTAATTTTTTTGACGTCTATCGATTTATGAATTCGTAAAACATGAAGTATCTATTAAAAAAAAAATTTAGTATACAATGTAAATTACGAGTGTACCACATAGTAATTTTATTTTTCGAAACGAAACTACGTTTTAGAGGTTTCTACTACTATAATGATGATGAGCTTTTTATTTTTTGTGTCTAAACAACTTTTCTATCCGTAGTCTTGCACCAATCGAAAACTTAATCGGAACATTATTGTGGAATTATTGATTTAGTTGGTGTATGGAGGAGGTCGTTTTTTGATTTTCTTTGCGGTTTCCTCGATAAATCGGAAAAAACCGGCAATTGTTTGTGCGATTTTCGTTGATTTCCGGCAACGAGCAAAATAACACTACTGTACTTGTATTAATTACTATCTGCTC